CTTCCCTTACTCTTTCTTGTTTGTACAGTTTCCTGAAACGGTAACCTCTTCTCCACAATTCTCTTTAACTTGGCTTTCAAGTCATCGTCAATCCGCTGAATTCGATTTTCAAGCCTTGTTTCCAGCGCTTTCGAATTGTTGTATACAAACTCGATCCTCATAAACAGCAACATCACAAGAGTCAAGGAAGTCACCGAAATAGCCACGGAAATTCCGCTGATCTTTTCACTAGGTTTCGCACGGACGTTCTTCTTTGCATCCATTTCTGTATTAGTGGTCTTTAAACAGGTAAAATATGGTTCGCTCGCAGGGACTGATTCGCCTCCGTAAGTTAACACGAAACATTACTTTCAGCAACTGCTTCAGCTTACCCCTTATAGCCAAGAATATCGTTTACACAGTTGTCAGACAAAACAGATTAAATTTCATAAGAAGAGGTCTTTTGCCTGAAATTTTTTTCGGAGAGGGTAAATCAATTATGAAATGGAAGTATATAGAAAATATACATCAGATAGGGATAGGAAAACGACTGCATACTCACTGGCAATAACCCTATCACAGTTAAATTTACAATTCAATTTACCTTAAAATTTGGAATTTTGCTTTGTTTTTGTAATTAGTCTTACATACCACTACTTTTAAACTGTAATTTTTTTTGAAAACTGCCGTCTCTCCAATGTAAGTACATTTCGCTAATGTAATAGTAACCCATCAGATGCAGATTCCACGATGAAACCGTGCTGAAAATAAATTTTAGAATAGCTTAATAATCAGGCATCGACCAAGAATGTTAGTCTGATCCGTGGGTTCAACTTTGATAGGCGCCGTCGCAGCTGTTCTTTTGGTCCTGTAACGTAACGCGTTCTCCCTCAGGCTCGATTACCTGCCGCTGTTCGGGAACCGGAGCCCGCGCTCCTTCTTGAACCTACGCGCTTCTCACCGAACCCACGAAAAAGGCCGGACTCGAGAGAGCAGCGGAAAGCGAGTCTAGTTTTCCCTCCGGGCCCCTAAAAGACATTCACCTGCCTCGGCGACCCTCTCCAGTTGCGCTCCCGCAAGGACAATGTTTCGTCGGTATTTATTCCAGGGTGTCAGTGGGATTAACTGTTAGCCGTAAAACAGCCAAAAAATGCAACCAGTAGCCGCGAAAATAATCACCTCATTGAGACCGTCTCCTTTTGATATGATTATCGACGGAATTGAACAAGGGTCAAAGGAGGTAATGGACCCTGCGATGAAATCAGAAATTCTCGTTTTCGAGAGTATAAACTATTTGAGCCTCTGTTGTCTTGGAACAAACCCCGAAACATTGTACTTCTCTTTCACAGGAAATTTAATAGGGCTGATTGATTTCGTGAGATTACAGCGTAGCGTATGAGAACAGAGATGCATTCAGAACACAAAACTTAAAATATTCTCTCACCTATTTCATATGAACAGAAAGAGATATTAACGTGTGGTCAAATAGCCAGCAGATTTGAAGCCAAGTAGACGCAGGAGCCTCAACCTCGTTCCCAGGGTCTCTCATCTCTCGCTACAGGGGGGTAGAGAGGGAAGGGGGGTCGAGGAGATAAGAGACCGTGGGAAGGAGGTTGTGGTGAAAACGGCTTCATTTTGTCTTTGTAATCAGTGGAATATTTATTTTTGGTACGATCACTGAACAATCCAATGATATTCTGCACGGTTTATCCGCAAGTTAACCATAGTGTCACTTTGATCAATAATTTTCGTATAATTTGGATAGTATAGTGCCGTTACATAAATATCTGTCCAAGCTTTATCTTTGAAGTCTTAGCCCAGACAGAAACGTCGACCCATGGCCTCGATTGTCAGTAGAAAGGAATTTAGAATATCACCATTACTTCAGTTCGTTTGTTTTGAGTAGTTTCATAAAACACTTCAATTTCAACAGGTCGAAAAGAGTGACTTCTTGCCAAGAGTGATTGGGTGAAGGGACTGCAAAAACTGTAGACAGATGGTGGACTGTAGGTGAATCCAAGATTTGAGTTAGAATTTGTGTTGGATGAGGCATAGCTGACAATGTGAAGATCGTGTCCTACAGCAAATATGGGTCCATAGCTAGGACAACTGTATATGGAGTAGCGACTAGAGCTATACTTTCCTGTGTGAGACAGTTTCACTGGTCCCCAGCCTGGCTTGTTAACCAATGAGAACAAAAAGGCGCTTGAACTGTATTGGTATCTACAATTGGAAGCTAATAAGCAAAATGGTAAAAAAAGAATTACAAACTATTTCAGTATGAGAGGTAAAGTTGAATATTTTTAACACAAGGCCACAGAAGCACTTAAAACGAACATGAAACGTACTCAAAAACAAAGAGTTATCGAATAGGTAGTTCTACCACCAGGATGATTTTAACAATTCCTACGAGTTAAGGAATTTTTGTGTAAATGCAAGGAACAGCTTTCCTAATCAAGCATGATCTTTTGTCGAGACAAAAATATTCCAATCAGATCATTAGACAACAGGAAACCGTGTTGACAAAATCTCTTTTCAGGTTCAAGTTGTTTCAGAGGAAAGACCTTTTCAAATAGAAGTCAATTACACGAGTTTTGGAAAATAGTTAGCGGCGAGCAGTTTCATGTGTTAAAATAGACACATTTTTCAGTGGAGAGGAAAAGGAGAGTGAAAGTGATCGATGATTCACTTACTCCAAGTTAATTATTCAACAATCGATTCTTGAGGTCAGCTCGTGAACTGTGCTTACAAAAATTAGCGACCGGCCCGCAGATAATTTGCAGATTTAGCAAGTAGAACATTAGTACTAAGTTGGAGGTAAGGCCCGGTTCAGACGCCGAACTTTTCGTGAGCCGAACTCAATTTGAATTTGAATCGACCCAAATTAACAAAAGTACGCCTGTTGATTCAGACGCCGTTCTTTATGGCCGTTCCAGATACAGTTCAAGTAAAAGCAGTCAAACGGCTTGCAAATACATTGTAATAATTTATGCATAAGGATCGGCACATAAAAAGTACGGCGTTTGAATCAAAGCGGTTCCAAAGCGGTTCCAAAGGCGTTCCAAAGGCGAAATTCTCGATTGAGCCAGGCGAGAAGAACGGATGAGCC